CGTCCTGAGGATACGCTCCCACCTGAGATCACCCTCAAGCCACCGCATCGCCGCGCAGTCCCTCCTCGCCGCCGCACGCGTCAGGGCACTCGCCAACGTCAAGTACTTCTCACCATAATCGTGCCTTCACGTGTGATCTGTGTATCACCCACCCACTCAACCACTCAACCACCCACTCAACCACTCACTCACCCACTCACCCACCCACTCACCCACCCACTCACCCACTCACCCACCCACTCAACCACTCACTCAACCACCCATGCTCTCACTCAACCACCCACTCACCTAATCACCCACTCACCCAACCACTCATTCACCCAACCACTCAACCACCTAATCACTCAACCACCCACTCAACCACCCACCCACACAACCACTCACCCACTCACCTAATCACTCAACCACTCAACCACCCACTCACCCACCTACTCACCCACTCACCCACTCACTCACCCACCCACTCACCTAACCACCCACTCACTCACCCACCCACTCACTCACCCACCCACTCACCTAACCACCCACTCACTCACCCACATACTCACTCAACCACCTACTCAACCACTCAACCACTCAACCACCCACTCAACCACTCAACCACCCACCCACTCACTCACCCACTCACCCACTCACCCACCCACTCACTCAACCACTCAACCACTCACTCACATACTCACATACTCACTCAACCACTCACATACCCACCCACTCACATACTCACTCAACCACTCACTCAACCACTCAACCACTCAACCACCCACCCACCCACTCAACCACCCACTCACCCACTCAACCACTCAACCACCCACTCACCCACTCAACCACTCACTCACCCACTCAACCACTCACTCACATACTCACTCAACCACTCACATACCCACCCACTCACATACTCACTCAACCACTCACTCAACCTCAACCACTCACCACCCCCCACCCACTCAACCACCCACTCACCCACTCAACCACTCAACCACCCACTCACCCACTCAACCACTCACTCACCCACTCACCCACTCACTCAACCACCCACTCAACCACATACTCACTCACTCAACCACATACTCAACCACCCACTCACCCACTCAACCACTCAACCACCCACTCAACCACTCAACCACCCACCCACTCACTCACCCACTCACCCACTCACCCACTCACTCAACCACTCAACCACCCACTCAACTACTCACCCACTCAACCACTCACATACCCACCCACTCACATACTCACTCAACCACTCACTCAACCACTCAACCACTCAACCACCCACCCACCCACTCAACCACCCACTCAACCACTCAACCACTCAACCACTCAACCACTCACTCAACCACTCAACCACTCACTCAACCACCCACCCACTCAACCACCCACTCAACCACCCACTCAACCACCCACTCAACCAACTCACTCACCTACTCACTCACCCACCCACTCACCCACCTAATCACTCACCTAATCACCCACTCAACCACCCACTCAACCACCCACTCAACCACCCACTCAACCACCCACTCACCAACTCACCAACTCACCTAACCACCCACTCACCCACCCACTCACTCAACCACTCAACCACTCACCCACTCAACCATTCACTCACTCAACCACTCAACCACTCACTCACTCAACCACCCACCCACTCACTCAACCACTCACCCACTCAACCATTCACTCACTCAACCACCCACCCACTCACCCACTCACTCAACCACTCACTCAACCACTCAACCACTCACATACTCAACACACACCACCACTCACTCACACTCACCCACACCACTCAACCACCACCCACCACTCACTCAACCACTCACCCACTCACCCACTCACTCACCCACTCACCCACTCACCCACTCAACCACTCACCCACTCAACCACTCACTCAACCACTCACCCACTCACCCACCTAATCACTTACATACTCACTCAACCACTCACTCACTCACTCAACCACCCACTCAACCACTCAACCACCCACTCACTCACCCACTCACCCACTCACATACTCAACCACCCACTCACCCACTCAACCACTCACTCACCCACTCACCCACTCAACCACCCACTCACCCACTCAACCACTCAACCACTCACTCAACCACTCAACCACTCACCCACTCAACCACTCACCTCACTCAACCACCCACCCACTCACTCACCCACTCACCTCACTCAACCACCCACCCACTCACTCACCCACTCACATACTCAACCACTCAACCACTCAACCACTCAACCACTCAACCACTCAACCACTCAACCACTCACCCACTCAACCACCTAACCACCCACTCACTCAACCACCCACTCAACCACCCACTCACCCACCCACTCACTCAACCACCCACTCAACCACTCAACCACTCAACCACTCACTCACCCACCCACTCACCCACCCACTCACCCACTCACCAACTCACCTAATCACCCACCCACTCACCCACTCAACCACCCACTCACCCACTCAACCACTCACCCACCCACTCAACCACTCACCCACCCACTCACTCACATACTCACTCACCCACCCACCCACTCACTCACTCACTCACCCACCCACTCACCCACTCAACCACTCAACCACTCACTCAACCACTCAACCACTCAACCACTCACTCACCCACCCACTCACTCAACCACTCAACCACCCACTCAACCACCCACTCACTCAACCACTCACATACTCACTCACCCACTCACCCACCTAACCACCCACTCACCTACTCAACCACCCACCCACTCAACCACTCACCCACCCACTCAACCACTCAACCACTCACACACTCACCCACCCACTCAACCACTCACTCAACCACTCAACCAACTACTCACTCAACCACCCACCCACCCACTCAACCAACCACCTAATCACCCACTCACACAGTCAACCAACCACCTAATCACCCACTCACACAGTCACTCACTCACCCACCCACTCACCCACTCACTCACCCACACACACACCCACCCACTCACCTAATCACCTAATCACCCACTCACCCACTCACCCACCCACTCAACCACCCACTCAACCACTCAACCACTCACCTCACTCAACCACCCACCCACTCACTCACCCACTCACATACTCAACCACTCAACCACTCAACCACTCAACCACTCAACCACCCACTCACCTCCCTCCTTCACTGGTTGCTTCGCTCCCTCCTCCTTCCTCCTCCATCACCTCCTCCGTCGGCGTCCTTCACCCGAAATCCTCATTTTCCACTTTCTCCCTCCACCTCCGACACCGCCTCTCCTCCACCCACCTCCTCCTTCACTGGTAGCTTCGCTCCCTGCCTTCACCCCCTTCCATCACCTCCTCCGTCGGCGTCCTCCACCCAAATCCTCATTTTCCACTTTTCCCCTCCACCCCTAAAATCGCCTTATCCCAACCCATCTTCCTCCTTCATCGCCCTCTCTCGCTTTTCCACCTCCCTCACCCTGTCCACCCACCTCCCTCACTCCCTCACTGCCTCCTTCACCTAAAATCGCCTTTCTCCAAATTCCCCCAAATCGCCCTAAAAATGTGCCTAAAATAATCCTTCAACATCATTATTAAATAACCTCTGCACAGGCCTCGAAAAATTTCTCGGCTACGAGAAAGGGAATTACACCGGAGAAGGAATCGTGTACTCGGACCTTGACAGGCTCTGCGACGGGGTGATGGCGTTTTTGCACGGGGTGCTTAAAAATGTCCAAGAGAAACAGCCTTATAATGTAGGCAGAGAAACACATTTAAAAGAAGTTGTGAAATTACTTACTGGTAGATTATGCTCTGGACATGGAGGCTTCAGGACTGTGATCGGGGATGTGGCTGGTAAGGTGTGGGAGTATAATAGGGATGTGGAGATAGGTAATAATGATATCAAGAAGCCTATTGAAACGTTGTTAGGGCAGATTAATGAAGATACTAAGTGGTATAAAGACCTTGGTAAAATACAGTTTATGAAGCTCGCTGTACAAAAGGAATCTGACGAAGCTGTGATTGAAGTTGCTAGGTTGTTGAAGGAGTGTCTTGCTTCAGCGGAGGCGTTTAATGACACTTTACATATGGATAAACATAGAGATATTAAAAACGCAATTGAAGATCTCAACTCTGAATTAAGCGTTAAGGTTAAAAGTGCAATAAGCTCTGTGAAGCATGAGACGAAGAGGCTGAAGACGTTGTCGGAGAAGGGAAAACAAGACTTGGCTATTACAACCAAACTAATCAAAACGGCACTCGAGGAGGTTGGAAAGGACGTGAATCATGAGATTGAATTGAAAGTAAAAAGGCTTGTAGAGAGGGTAATAGGAGTAGTAAACCATATTAAAGAAAGGCTTGACGGCCTTAATGATAACCTCAAGGACTACGTTACCAAGTTGTCGGATTGGATTAAGGCGGCTGAAAAGGTGAGGCGTCAGGCGGATTTGAAGGTGGCGGAGATTGTTGGGAAGTTGAATGGTGTTGGAGACCAAGAAAGAGAGGGTGACAAAAATGCAATTACCAAGGCGGCAGGGGAATTGCAAAAGAGGGCTGAGAGTCTGCGGGAGAAAGCGTTCAAGGCTAAGACGCAGGTGAAAACGTTGGTCAGTCAGGCACTAAAGGAGGTTGCAGCGTTTGACAGGGCGGTTAGGACGGTGTTGAAGGATACGAGGGATAAGATTCAGGGGGCGATGCAGACGTATGTTAAGACGCAGTTGCTGGGGGATATTACAAAAAGGGTGAATGAGATTATTAAGGGTCCCGGAGGAAGTGATGGTCTAGAACAGACTGTAAAAGTTTTCAAGGCGTATGCTCAGCAGTTCGGTGAGGATGGGGAACACGGGTTTGAAAGTGTAGTAGAGGAGTGGATAAAAGGAATTTTGGATGAGGAACCAGTAAAGGGGTGGCTTAAAAAGTATGCTGAAGAACCGAGTAATCTGACCAAGCTGGGTGAAAGATGGGATGCAGAAAAAAGTGTGTTTAAGGAACCGACTATACGGGGCATAGCTATCACAATTAGGGATGAGATTAAAAAACATTTCAGCCCATCGTTCAGAACAATCGAAATTAGTGACAAAAATAGCATTGATGATTATATGAACGCTGTCCAGATTGCTTGTGGTGTATTCGCCAATACGTTAGGCGAGAAATTGAAGGAAGGAGCGGGAAGCATTAGTTCCTCTGACATGGCGAAAGCGATCAATAAGCATTTGGCGGCCCAAGACACACACAGTCACAATCTCAGTAAGGCCGTGTATTCTACGCTACACCAGCTTGTTAGTATTGCGAATAAAACTAGTGAGGCAGCGGGTTCGTTCACTGGTGAAAACGATGGAACCGAAAGCGACGTCAAGATAGTGGACACTTCACTTGGCGTGGCTAAGCAGCTAGGCCTTGATCTTGGAACGGCGACTACACCCGGCAAACCCGTAACAGCCATAAAACCCGAAGACACGGCCCACCCGTTCAAACTTTCCGACAGTGTCGACGCCAGGATCCTCGGCATACTTGAAGCGGAGGTCGGGGAGGATGATAGCGGTAGCGGAGGTAAAGGTGCCATGGTAAAAAAGGTTAAGGATACAAACATGGGACATTACGGTACTTACATTAAACAAGAGGAAGATGCTCTTAGGGCCCTTGCGTCCGGTGAAGTAAATATCCAACCAGGCGGTCCGGAGCAAAACAAACTCCCCAACGCCGTCAAGAGAATTGAGGCTGAGGTGCTACAGGAGGGGACGTTGAAAAATGTCGAGGACAATGGAGATGGTAATGACACGTTTCACAAAAATACGTTCGCCAATATGCTTGAATCCGTCAAAACCAGTCTCAATAAATTTACCGACAAAGTAAGAGACCTGGTTAACGATTCCGCCAAGAGCAGCGTCCACGCCTACCTGAGCGAGCTTGATAACATGCTTCAGGGCACTGAAAATGTCGTGTTCTCCACCGAAGGACTGCATGATCACAGTCCTGTAAGAGGCCTTCAGAAAATCAAAGATGATCTTTCCACCCTGCAAAACGACCTGGAAACAGGTCCCATTGCCTGGGCCAAAACCTTCATTGATAGTGACGCTGAAAACCTACGAACAGAAACGGTCGAAACCCTTGAAGACATCGTCAATAAACGAGTCAAATCCGCCATCTCCGACATCACCCACCAGACTAACAAAAACTATGTAACCTCAATAGAAGATTTCTTGTGGACATTTGTCATGAAGACTACAGAGGTGCTACAACCCTTGCCGAATATGATTAAATACGATTTGGAAAAGGGGGTTAAAGGGTTTATGAAGAAATTCCATAATAAGTTCATTGAAAAAATAACAGCTATTCGAACATATAAGTTTACCATAGATGCTCCACAGATGCCTCTGATACCGGCGGCTTTATCTGTCAAGTTAGGTCTCGTTGATTTCTTCGATCATTTGAAAACCCAGAAGGGTTTTGAGTCTGACTTTCGCAAGGTTGCGCCGTGCAAGAATGCACTGGCCAAAATGCTTGGCGACCTCGCCTCGTCAAAGCACTTTGACCATGAGTTTAGTAAGAATTTAAATGATCTCGATAAAACGGTTAGTGTATTAAACCTGACGAAATTTGGCGATGGCGACAGTCCTTTGCTGCTCAATGCTCTGAGCAAGGGGTTTCCGCCACTGGTCGAAGAATTCAAAAAACCCTACGTCTCCACCTACTCGCAGCAGAAGTTTACCGGTGCATTGCTACAAAAAAAGACAGCTCCCACTCCAAAGCCTGCCGCCACTCAGCTAAATCCCGGTATCGACCAAACATTACATGCCTCAGCGGATGCTCCTACCAAGGCACTCGCGTCCTCACCCTCCCCTCAAAATTCTATTCACCCCACCACCTCCCAAGAATCTCAGTCTCCTACGAAACCTGAGACGGAGTTAACCCCCGAGGGCCGCAACTGCGCCAAGGTCTGCCTGACCATACTGGAGATGATGCGTTATGATTTCAATGATTTACTCAGTGGATGTTCCGAGAGTGCTAGTATACAAATTAACTTATACAATAACCAGAAATTAGGCCGCTGGTTCAGGAAGCGCGGTTTCAAGGTGAATTCCGATTCAGGAAAACAGCACGGTGAATTGCAAGATAAACAGAGTATGAGGGGGACGGAAATAAAAACATTGCTCAACAAGAATATTGTTGGCGCTTCCGGCATTGAGGTCCTCAAAATGTGGAAGCAAGAGTGGATGAAAGAACAGGATGAGAAAAAGTCTTATAGCAAGCAGCAAGGCGGCACTCTCATTACACATAAAACAGTATATAACACAGAACATATTAACCTTCTCGACATTATTCGTTTCCTGAAGGTACCACTTGGAGCATATTACCGTTCCTCTCACCACTTCCTCCCTCCAAAGCCCCGATCCCCGTCCAATGTATATCAGATGCTCCAATGGCTTCTCGGATTGTATTTCAATCCGATGTATCAGAAGCTGGAAGCGCACATTGCCCAATTGTTTGCTGGTCTAAAGGCGCAGTATAAGTTAGAACATCCACACTTAGATGTCACCGTACCGGACGATTTAAAAAAGTATATTCATTCACCTCTCAGCTCTGAGCAATTGACCACTGTACTTCGCAACGTGTGTCTGTATTCCGAAGACACGCTGACTGCCTTCCTCGGGCGTGGCCACGCAGACGGCCGGTACGCCGTTGAGTTTTACACAAACTCAGATCAATTATTGTATCCTACTAGCGTCGGTACATGTTTTGACATGTTGGTAGATACATCATTTAGAGTCTATAATCAACTCCGTTTTGTATATAAACAGTGTAACAACGGGACTAAGAGCGGTGGTTGGAATGACTGCTGGTATGGTCAACATGTCGGCGGTTCCTCATGGAACTGCAACACAAAGCAATGTGCCAACCAAAACTGTCCCCAAATAGCTAACCAAAAGACCAACCAAAGCGCTGACCAACGCTGCGATCAACACCCTATCTGCGGTGTGAAATCTCCACTCCAATCGTTCCTTGAAGATGGGTTACCAGGCTTTCTACCTCATTCATTTAAAACACCTGGTTGTAAGCTTACGTGTACAGTGTCCAACCACTTTGGAAAGCCGTGTCTCACTCCCATGGGCTTTGCCGATATTAGCAATGTAGCTTCACGCACCCAGAAAGGTGAAGATCTGAAGAAACTTATTGAACAATTCTGTGGTCCACATTCTTACCTTCGTCGGCTATGTATTATCTTCAACTGCTTGCTTCGCCGAGCTCCGCAAACACTAGGTGATATGTTTGCATTCTACTACCATTTACTTAATAATTGGAACAATAGTGGCGAGCACAGAAAGACAGCATTTGACAAGGCAGTCAACGACGCCAACTTCGGTGAGGTCTATACAGATCTCATGATCGCATCCATTGAAAACAGCCGAACGCACGATCATAGAGAAAAATACCATGACAAAGGAGACCTCTTCAGTCTTACAGATTGTGTTCCTAAGTCGACGTTCGGCCTACCGTGTGGTCCATACTTGCAAGCCCTCAGTCTTGACATTCAGAACATGTACTCTAAACATAATGCCAGCCAATACCTTTCGTGGATCGTTTACCTCACGGAAACATTTTATGATCTGTTGAAAAAATTGTATGACGACTGCTGTGCTAAATGCGACAAGAAAGGCGCTCGGTGCTATGATAAATGCTGTGATGAGACGTGTGGAGTAAATGCCGCCTACACAGCTGAGGAACCGTCCAAAAAACTCTCGACCTCAAAACATACATCGGAATGTCACTCCATTGTCGCCTGTCAAAATATGCATCCCACGTTGTACAAATATGGGTTTACCTTCGGGAGTCCATTTGATCTTAGCGGTAAAAGTGGAACAACTAAGCAACGTTCATGCAGAGATTTCTGTAGAGCGTTAGAGAAAGTGGTAAAAGACGGCAGCCTTCTATATAACTTAGTACATAAGTATATTCCTGACTACATATTCGAAATTCGTTCTAAATTCATCTGGACTCTGTTGTCCCTCTGGTCGCTGTCGCTCCTGTACCTGCTGCACATCGCCGTCGTCCGCCTCGACGTCCTGAGGATTCGCTCCCACCTGCGCTCACCCGCAAGCCACCGCATCGCCGCACAGTCGCTGCTCGCCGCCGCACGCGTCAGGGCACTCGCCAACGTCAAGTACTTCTCACCATAATCGTGCCTTCACGTGTGATCTGTGTATCACTCACTCACCCACTCACTCAACCACCCACTCACTCAACCACTCAACCACTCACCTAACCACACACCCACTCAACTACTCACTCACCCACTCACCCACCCACCTAATCACTCACCCACCCACCTAATCACTCACCCACCCACCCACTCAACCACCCACTCACTCACCCACTCAACCACCCACTCACCCACTCAACCACCCACTCACTCACCCACTCAACCACCCACTCAACCACTCAACCACTCAACCACTCAACCACTCACTCACCCACTCACCCACTCACTCACCCACTCACTACTCACTCAACCACCCACCTAATCACTCAACCACCTACTCAACCACCTAATCACTCACTCACTCACTCACCCACTCAACCACTCAACCACTCACCCACTCACTCACCTCCTCCTTCACTGGTCGCTTCGCTTCCTCCCTCCTCCTCCCTCACCTCCTCCGTCGGCGTCCTTCACCCAAATCCTCATTTTCCACCTTTCCCTCCACCCCTAAATCCCCTTACCTCCACCCATCTTCCTCCTTCATCGCCCTCTCTCGCTTTTCCACCTCCCTCACCCTGTCCACCCACCTCCCTCACTCCCTCACTGCCTCCTTCACCTAAAATCGCCTTTCTCCAAATTCCCCCAAATCGCCCTAAAAATGTGCCTAAAATAATCCTTCAACATCATTATTAAATAACCTCTGCACAGGCCTCGAAAAATTTCTCGGCTACGAGAAAGGGAATTACACCGGAGAAGGAATCGTGTACTCGGACCTTGACAGGCTCTGCGACGGGGTGATGGCGTTCTTGGGTGGAGTTCTCCAAAGTGTGAAAAGTGATGAGAGTGTGAAGAAATATGATGTTCAAGATAAAATCAAGAATGTTTCTACTGAAATCAGTAAGTGTATGCATAAAGGTTCTCATGTTTTTCCGCAGGCCATCGCAGAAGTCTCCGCGGCGCTGCAGGCGTGGAGCGGTGAGCTCGAAGGGCGGAAGAAAGCATTTCAAGAAGCACTTAGCACACTTAAGAATGACAAAATGCTTAATATGTCTACTGCACTTAAGTCACTCGATAGCTGTCCACCTGATAAGGTGACTGACGGGTTGCTGAAATGCATCCTCAGAGCAGGAGAGCTGGAGGAAGCTTTCAGCGAGGCAGAGATCAAATATAAGACACTTGATAGCTCACTTAAGAACAAACTCCTAGATAATGTTCGTAAGGTAGAAATACATGTTAAGACTTTTGTAGCCTCCGCTAGCAGTGATGAGCTGAGGCTGCTGGTTGACATGGCGGCACACCAACTGGATGAATTGAGGGGTAAAGTGCATATTAATATTGAAGATAAGGTACGAATTATGGAGGCAAATATCCATAATGCTTTCAAAAAAGATATTCAGGATCCTATAGATCACGTGAAGACGAAGCTGGAAGGTGTTTATAGGGATTTGGGTGAGTGGATTAGGGCATTGACGCCTGTCTTGGAGGCGGCTCAGAAATTGGTTGATGAAGTTATTGATGAAGTTGATCAGCGTGAAGGCAAAGCAAATGGAAAACCGCAGCAAATCTGTGTGTCTGCGACGAATTTGAGAAATGATGCCATGAAATTGCACAATGCCATAACGGCTGCTCGAGGCACATTATCCGCTAGGGTCATTATAGCTACTGCTACGTTGGACAGTTTGGAAGATGGCCTTAAGGGAGATTTGAAAATTGTTAAAGACAACGTTAAGGCAGTGATTAAAAAGTACGTAGCAGAAGCTACATCTTATTTCGAGGAGATTAAGAATAATACCGTCGGTAAGGAAGGGGATGGGACTAAAGATGGTATAATGAAGCATTGGTCACAGCTTCAATGGGATATTACCCAGCTTGTAAATAACATCAATGGTAACGGATTCTCAAGTTCAGGCCTTAAGGGCATTAAATACGCCATCAGAGACTATGCAAACGGTTTTGGCGGTAAAAAGTTTGACACTGTAATGCAGGAGTGGATTAGAAAAATAGTTGACGATGATGGCACTGTAAAACATAGGCTGGGGGAATATTGGCGGAATAACGGTTCCCACCTGAATGTAAGGAACCTTCTTCAGTTACAAAATGGTGTTAAGCAGCAAATCAAGATAGCGTTGACTGACGATATTCAGCAAGCGGGGAAATTCGTCAGTGTCACACCAAGCGACAACGTGGACAGCGTTGCGAAAAACATTGAAGCTATCAGGGCTGGTATCAATGAATTTGTGAGGAGGCTTGATGATAAGCACATGTCTCCAGGGATTGATGCGTTTGTACAAGGAATAGCCATTAATATTGAGAGAGCGTTCGGTGTACATGACCCCAATAGGCCGGGTTATCACAATGACCATTTGCAATCTGCATTAGAATCCATTGTGGCTGCGCTATATGCGACAATTAGGCAGGTTAGCGAAGAACTTAGAACTTTCACATCAAACTACGTGGGTTATAACCTCGGCACCAGCGTGCAAAATGCTATAAAGGGTGTTGAAGATATCAAAGGGAAACTTACAAACGACGACGGCAATAAGATCGACAAAAAGTTACAGCTGCTCAAGGAAAACATCAAGCAGCTTGGCACTGCCCTCGATGGCGACCTTCAAAAGCAGGTTGACGAGCACATTGGGAAGGATGGTGATGGCGTCTTTGCGCATTTTAATCAGATTCAGCTTAATCAACTTACTACCTTCGGCAGTGGTCATAAAGGCCAGAAAAAAGACCTCTGCGATGCAATAAAAGATATTGAATGCAAGGTGACTGAATCTCTTGGTCAGGGAGAGGCCGACAGGGTTACGGCCACAACACTCGCAGGTTTTCTTACCACAATCACTTCCACGCTTGGAGAGCTCTGCACTAAAATCGATCAACTTACCGGGAAGGAAGGTTTACAAAAACCGCAAAAAGAGGGACTCAAGCAATTATTGACTAGGATTCAATATGGGATTACACAAAATGCTCTGGGAAACTCAAATGATCACCTTACACAAATAAATCAACGTATAAACGACCTCATTGGGACTAATGGCACGCATAATACATTATCAGAGATATTAAAAAATGCCAAAGCCTTTAAGGAAGATGTCATCACCGAACATGCTACCAAGGCCATTGACGATATTAAGCTGTATGTGTCCACGCAAGTGGCTGACGCTACTAAGGCCATACAGTATAACGCGAAGGAGCAATACTATACAAAGATTTCCAAGCTGTTTGATAAGATGAAACGGAGGGTTGATAAAAACATTAAGACAATTATTACAATAATAACCAACGACTCGAAGAGCGGCGTAAAAGGATTACTCATGGCAATGAACGATCACAAAAGCAAGCTCGACGAACTGAAAACCAAAGAAAGTGTTAAAGCTATGTCCCCTGTATGGAACGCTTATTTGGATGCTATATTTAAATATCTTAAGTGGCAAGTTGATCCTCTAGCTGAGCCCCCGGCACCGGTGCAGCCTGCAGCTCAAGTCCCACCTCCGATATCTGGAGGTGGTTACAGAGCTAGGCCTAAGACTCCAACTCAACAGCGGAATCAAATTCAGGTTCCAAGGATTAATAAAAACCCGCAATCCAACCAAGTAACTGCGCTGGGGAGCAGCATAGATCAATTATTCGTTTTGCTTGAGCGCTCTGAGCATTTCGATGGTACATTTCAAAACCATCTCGCAAAAGCTAAACATGCGCTGTCTCGCGTGACTCCTATGAAATTCACGGGAGTTCTCAATCCTGTGCTCCTAGACGTTCTTAAATCTGGTGTGCAGGCCTTACTCAGCGAATTGGGGAACGCTTATGTTTCCACATATTCGATGCGGACTCCACTTCCAGGTGAAACGGATAAGTATGCTAAGATTGTCCTCACCATAACTCCCACCTTAGTGAATAATCTAACAACACTTAAATCATACTGTCTGACAGATTGGCAGCGTAAGCAAATTAATTTAGGTGATAATAATCCACTTGGTCCACTTCTCTCACAATATGGTTTCCAGGTTTCCTCCAATGATAAGTCGCAGGAGGGACATTTGCGAAATACGGACGTGTTCATTGGTTCATCTATTTCCATCTTATTAACACAAAGTACAAAGCTCTTCTACAATGAAGACGATAAAAAACCAAATGACTCCGACGTTCTTGCGAACCTTCACAGATATCTACGTGAATATTACCAAGTTTCCCACCATGCCACATTCTCCGCAACTAAAGCACCTACCACCGTCAACCAAATGTTGCAGTGGTGTTCCGGTTTACGATACAATTATATGTATCCAAAAGTCACCGCACACGTTAAGACGTTGTTCGCTAAGCCGGAAGAGTATAAGAACGATGATTATGACAAAATAGAGGCATCGAAACTTACCCTCTCCGCGAACAAAAATCTATCAGCTCGCATCATCACCGACACACTTACAGATGTTTGTACCCTGTCACATTCCGTCCTTACCGCCTTTCTTGGATACGGTCATGCCGACGGCATCTATGCGTGTGACCACTTCACCAACTCAAGTAGCTTAGCTTATCCAAGCAGTCCCTCACAGTGCTTTGACACCCTTTCAGAAATATTGCATAGACTGTATCAACAGCTTAATTTCTTATTTACTCAGTGCTCACGTACGTATGACGCTAACACCTGGCGTGATTGTTGGTATGGTAGTGGCATAGGTGGCTCGTCATGGGAGTGCAACAAGACGCAATGTGCCAACCAAGAGTGCAACCTAAGACCTAACCAAAAGGTAAACCAAAATGGTAACCAAAGCGCTACCCAAACAGCTACCCAAACATGTGACCAGCACCCTAAGTGCGGTCTGAAATCGCCTTTGCAGTCTTTCCTTGAGGACGGGTTGCAAGGCTTTTTGCCGCATCAGTTCACGAAGCCAGGTTGCAAGTCTACGTGTACTGTGTCTAATCACAGAGGAATTCCATGCAAAACTCCGATGGGTTTCGGTGACATCGCCACCACATCATCGCATACAAAAACAGGTGCGCATCTCCGAGATGTTCTGAGCGAATTCTGCGGTGATTCAGAGAGTCCGCTGACTAAACTGTGCAGTCTCTTAACATGTCTATCGCAACGCACGCCACGAACATTAGATGATCTGTTTGCGTTTTATTTCTGTTATCTGCACGGTTGGAATACGAATGACACGATGCGTAATAAGCATCAGAAAGGTGCATTCGACGAGTCGGTTAGAAGGGCTTATTTCAATAAGCAGTATGATGATCTCGACGTTACTCCGATGTTCAAGACTAGTAGTCATACTCCAAAGTCCGCCGGCCAGAAAAGCACACATCTCAAAGGTGACCTGTTTAGTGTCCACCGGTGTGACTATGACGGAAACTCTGAAATTGCCTGTGGTAGATACCTACAGCCTATGGGCATGAATATATGGAATACGTTCTCGAACAAAAATGCCGACAAATACCTTTCGTGGATTGTGTACTTGACAGAAACGTTCTATGATCTACTCAAGAAATTATACGATGAATGTTGCAACAATTGCGATAAACCAGGGACAAGATGTCATGATAAAATCTGTCCCAAAACGTGTCCAGTGAAATACACCGATTCGACAGCAGACATAAAAACGCTCGAAGGTAAACATCACACCAAAGACTGCAAATCAATTGCAAATTGCCCACTCACTAGGCCAACGTTATGCAAATACGGTTTCGTATTGCAGAGTCCACACAACCTAAGTGGAAATGACGACGTCAATATGAGACGTACGTGCAAAGATTTCTGCCAAACACTAGAAAGGGCCTTGGACAAAACAGAAGCAAAAGCACATGCACTTGCCAAGTTGGTACACGAAACTATTCCCAACTTCCTATGGAAAATCAGAGAACCATTTTATTTCCTCTTATTATCCCTCTGGTCGCTGTCGCTCCTGTACCTGCTGCACATCGCCGTCGTCCGCCTCGACGTCCTGAGGATACGCTCCCACCTGAGATCACCCTCAAGCCACCGCATCGCCGCGCAGTCCCTCCTCGCCGCCGCACGCGTCAGGGCACTCGCCAACGTCAAGTACTTCTCACCATAATCGTGCCTTCACGTGTGATCTGTGTATCACCCACCCACTCAACCACTCACCCACCCACTCACCCACCCACTCACCCACTCAACCACTCACTCACTCAACCACCCACTCACCCACTCACCCACTCACTCACTCAACCACTCACTCACTCACTCAACCACCCACTCACCCAACCACTCAACCACTCACCCACTCACCCACCCACTCAACCACTCACTCACTCAACCACCCACTCACCCACTCACCCACTCACTCACTCAACCACTCACTCACTCACCTCCCTCCTTCACTGGTCGCTTCGCTCCCTCTCCATCACCCCCTCCATCACCTCCTCCGTCGGCGTCCTTCACCCGAAACCTCATTTTCACCTTTATCCCTCCACCTCTGAAATCGCTTCTCCCCAACCCTTCTCCCTCCTTCATCGCCCTCTTTGCCCCTTCACGTCCCTCACCCTGTCCACCCACCTCCCTCGCCCCGTCACTGCGTACTGCCTCCTTGACCTAAAATCGCCTTTCTCCAAATTCCCCCAAATCGCCCTAAAAATGTTCCATTTCATCCCCCTTTACCCCTTTTAACTCTCCCTTAATCCACCTTTAATCCACCTACAATGACCATTACAATGACGTTCATTATCTTACTGATGATGCCAGACAAAGAGCCTTGGATGATATCGATGCCCGTCGTATCTCTCTTGGTCAGCTTGCTGGACAGCTTTCGGGATTTATTGGTAGTGCAGATGAAGTTAAAGATGCAATTTTGAATGGTTTGCAGAGCAATGTAAATCAGCTTGAAAAGCTTTTAAAAACGTCTTGCGGAGATAAGGGGTGTTGTAAGTATAATGATGATGTAAAAAATCAGCTTAATGATGCCAATGAGACACTTAAAAAACGCCTTAAAGATGAACAAAATACTGCTGAAAATCTTGTTGACATCCTTTCTAAGTGCAATTTATATCCGTCTGATGGTCCCTTAAATGAGCTTAATGAGGAAATTCCTAAAAAAATTGAGAAGCTTAATAAAAGCATTGAAGAGCTTAAATCACAGCAAAATGATGATAATAAAAGTAAAAATGCCTCTGAAATTGACAAACTTAATAAGGATCTTCAGTCTCATAATGCTTCCAAGAGGTCTCTTGAGACGCTGAATCAGCTTTGTGATTTTGCTAAAAAAATTCAAATATCTTCACAAAATAATCCACATGATTTACTTGATAAATTGTGTACAGGTCTCCAAACATTTTTGGGTTTCAATGAAACTTCCAAAGGCTACGATGGCACTGGCATCGTGTACTCCGACCTTGACAGGCTCTGCGACGGGGTGATGGCTTTCCTTCATGGTGTTTTGCATACTGTGAAGGAGGATGAGAGCGTTAAGAAATATGATGGTTACATTAAATTAGCCGGTGAAAAGGATTTACATAATGTCCTTCACTCTCTCCAATCTTCAATTGGCCAGGGACGCAGTGTCTTTGGTGATCGGGTTAAAGAGGTAAGTGGATGGTTGCAAAAATATTGGATGCAGGTGAATGACAGGACTACAGGAGTGTCATATGAATTAGGTACGTTACTTAGTGATTTAACATCTCATTCAGGTAAATATGTTCAAGATGTTTCAAGACAACAAGACAAGCCCCTCAAGGAGCAACTGGACAACTGGACCAAGACAGTCGAGGACATTAATACTCACATTAAAACAAACATAATCACTAATGTTAATAACTTAGACCCCGCACTTAGCGATAAGATAAAGCGTGAAATAGAGCCCGTGCGAAAGGTGGTGGAGCAGTTGGGGAGGGTGGCTGGGAACCCTTTCCTTGGTGATCGGGTCAGAAAAGTAGATGACGAGTTGTCTAACCAAAAACAAATCATTTTGAATCATATAACAGGGCAGAGTGATGTGGTTCAGAATACGTTGGAGAGGGAGCTTCAAAATGTTTTTACCAAGATTGAGAGCCTCCACGAAAAACGGAGGGAGGAGCTTGCGAATATTCGATACGCATTAAGGATTTCTAGGGAAAGCCTTGAGACCGAATTAAATGATTTAAATGGGACTAAAAGAGGTGAGATATATAAGAAGTTTGAAGAGCTGAGAGAGAAATTGAAGTCCGTTAATAACAAGCATGAACCAGAATCAGTAAGAGGCATGTCCAAACATAAACAGGAAGTTGAAAATATTAGGGCGGCGCTATTAACTATCGGTGACCGGCTGGGTGGACATATTACGGAATTGTCAAACAGGATTCATGACGCAGAAAAGTTGCGTGGTGAAGCTTCTGGAAAGGTTAAAGACGCCGCGGATAGGTTGAAAGAAAGAAAAGATAGTAGATCTAGGACTGAATTCGGTGAGAACATTGATAAAATTGTGGCAGCTAATAAGATAGTGTCGGACGTTAATAAGTCTCTTATCACCATCGATAGCACATTGAGTTCATGGATTCTGAGGGCTGGACAATGCGTGACGGAAGCTGTGGAAAATGTTAGCACTATTCTTCAGCAGGTTGGTGACCATAAAGATAATAATAGGGAAATGGTAAAAAATGCAGTGCAAAGTTTAAAGCAACAGAGTGAGCAGTGTTATGTAAATATGAAAGAAAGAGAATTTGAAAACATCTGTAACCAAGCAAAATACAACCTGGAAAATATCGGTACCGACGTGTCTAGTTTGGTGGATGAAAAATTCAGGGAGGTGCAGCAAGAATATAAAATGTGGGCTACTGGGAATATTCCTGGTTCTAGAGGTATGCTGCAGCCTGGATTGCCTCAAGCTTTACAGTCCGGCAGTAACCCTCTGCTGCAGCTTTCGAATGCCGTTAAAGATGCGGCAAATACTGTGAATACTCAGAGTCGTGGATCCACTATGCAGCAGTATCAGTCTTTACGTTATAGTTCAGCACCGTCACCTAGCGATTCACTTAGTAGTTCACTAGCAGAGTTACAGCGGTTGGAATCACAGGTTCAGCAAATTGGGCGCCACCATGGTATGCATAATCGCGATCAGCTTCCCAGCACCGACGAAGTAAGTAGAAATATGCAAAATCTATCTCACCTTGCGTATTTGATCAGAAAAGTCGTCAACGACGCCATTGATGTATTGAGTGAGCGCATCAGCAGAGACGTGCAGAGCGCTACAATACGTTTAAGTCAGATTACTGATTTTAGTCAATTTACAACTCCGCTTAGTGATGCATCTGAGTTTGCAAATCGCCTTAGTGGGCAGCTGCGTTCCCAATTTCATTCGCAATTTTCTCGGCTTGCCGCACTCAGTACCATTCAACATGCATACAGTGAACTTAGTATTTTAGAGAGTAGTGTTAAGAGTTTTGGCACGCGTTTCAGTAGCGGTAAGAAATTCATTGAGGAATTCGATACTGGTATTTCCAATCATTTTGACAGCCTCGTCTCCGTGGTTGGCAACGCCACAGGAAAGGAAAACAATGGCCTCAAGAAACATTTGGAGGATGAGTTGAAGAATATTTACTTTAAAAAACCCGGCAAGGATACTACTAGCATCCACAAAATTTATGGCGAACTTAATGCTCAAAAAGAGCAGTTAGGTGGAAAAGCCGAAGATATAAGTGGAGCCGTCGAAGCAATCAGCAAAGAGATTAGGGAGCTCGGTATTGCAATGAAGGGTATATTTAAAGATGACCTTTCGGACAAGTTGGAAGCCTTGAGAAAGAAAATTGGTCATGTCACTAAGGACCCTGGCAGCCTGCAAGCAGTCCATGGTGAACTTCAAAGTCTCTACACCAAGGAGTTTACTAACCAGGCAGCCCAACAACTAAATGGCATGTCCAGCACAATCCAACAAGCCATCAAACGAGTCCTCGACATAGTGGAGAAACTGGAAGATGTTCCGGGCGACGTCGCACAAAAACAAAAGGATGTGGACAACCTTTTGGAGCAGCTAAGAGACAAGGTTCAAAACAACATTAAGTATGTCGACCGCATAGTCGACGATGCTGAGAGGGGTGTAATAGATGCAATACACTCCGTGGAAAACGCGGCACGCGGAGCTAAGAAGTACATCACAGAAGCTGTTACTAGTCTTAGAAAAACCCTCCTCTCTACCACCGAACAAGCCTTCAAAGAAATAACCAGACACGTCCAAATATTATTTTCCGCCTCCCACATCGCCGACCTCCAGGCCCTGCGCGCGCTCGTCGACCAGCAACTGCGGGAAGTGCAAACAATAATCGCGCGGGACGCAGTCACGGGCGTGAAGGGGATGCTGAAGGTATTACATGGCATTCCTATTACTGCTAAAAGTGCTGTAGATGACAAGAATAATCTTCTCTCAAGGGTCAAGAATGCTGCGCCTTCTCCAACTTCGAAGCCCCAACAACCTCTGACTCACGACCAGCACAGCAAGCACTTCAGAGAGTTGGCCTTTAATTTCCAAGATTTTGTTGTTCCATTTTTAGAGTACGCTGAAGGCCAGGTGAAAAATACTGCGCCAGATGAAAATAAGCCCCCAACTTCTAATGACCAATCCACTAATGTTGCTACAATTAGAGATGCCCTTAAGACTGTGCTTTATTATGTCGGCATGAAAGATGCTTTGCCTATTCCAAATGATAATAATAGTAAACGTGTTTACCTCCTCGACCATGCTTTTTACGAGAAATTACAACATCTCCAATCCCAAGTCCACTCCCTCTCCCCCTCCAACTTCCACGGCTTCCACAACCCCCTGCTCCTCGACGCCCTCAGGTCTGGCATGTCCGATTTCACCGAGCAACTCTCCTACGCGTACGTGAACAGGTACAGTGGTAGAACGTTTGGTGCTTTGACTGAACAGAAACCCGGCGCCGCTCCAACCACCGATAAAGTGCTTTCCACCGAGGGCCGCAACTGCGCCAAGGTCTGCCTGACCATACTGGAGAGGGTGAGTGAGGACTTGGACACTTTGAAAGAGAGATGCAAATATGAATGGCATTCAAAAGAAATCCACCGCATTAGCGGACTTGGCGCTTTTTTGAATGGTTGCGGTTATATTGTGTCCGATAGAGGTATGCAGGACGGCGAGTTGAGGCGTCATGATGAGATGACAGGTGAGAAGGTCTTTCAGAAACTTACTGCTAAACTTACGAACACCAGCGAAATTGATAAGCACCTGAAGGAGTGTGATTCAAATAAGGTGAAAGGAAAAGATCAACCGAAGAAAGATAATAACTTCAATCTCTCTGACCTACTTAGCTGCCTTCACCATCACTTAGAAGAGTATTATTCCGTCGGTCACTATGCAACTTTCACCTCTAAAAGGCAGCCGTGCAGTGTATATGAGATGCTTGTATGGTGCGCTGGTCTCACGTATAATCCTGTAAATTCAGCTATGCGAGACATCACCATCAGTGAGCTGTTCGAGGATCCAAATAAGCAGGACTCAGAGGAGGAGACTGCAACACTTATCAGCGACCAAAGCATAGATGCTTCTCCTCACCCAATCAGATATAATAATGTCGTAATGTCGCTCGGCGAGATGTGTTCTCTATCCTACGACGTCTTGACCAGAGTCCTTGGGACCGGCGACGAACATACCGTCTATGCCAGTGACTTCTGTAACAACTCGCACGGTTTTAAATATCCTGGTAGCGGTAAAGATTGTCTCGACATGTTGTTAGATATATTGCGTAGATTGTTCCCGCCCCTCAAATTCCTGCTCATCCAGTGTAGTTATCCGACTGCCATTGGCGGTTGGTCACAGTGCCAGTACGGCAAGGAGATCCCTCCCGCCAAGTGGCCGTGTAGTGACCACTCAAACAGCAAACCAAAAGGTCAACCAAAGGGCCAGGCAACTGACCAACCAAACACCGAACCAAATTGCCAACCAAAATCCCCTCTACAAAGCTATCTAAATGACTGCCTGCCAGGTTCCCTACCTCATAGGCTAATCGATATAGGCTGCAGAGCCAAATGTTCTACGTGCCCCGCTAGTACACCAGGAATGCCCTGTCTCACTCCATTAGGCTTTAAGGCCTTCTCTGGTAGTACGCGTACCGGTAGGGACCTGTGTAACATGCTAGAGAAATTCTTCAACAATGCGTACGTCACATCGCTGTTCTGTCTGCTACCCAAACCACCGTCCACGCTTGCAGAACACTTCAGCTTTGTGTTGTCACTACTTAAAAGTATAAATGCCTCCAAACCTAACAAGAGTGGTGACACCAAAGCATTGCAAGGTTACCTCAAATCGTCCAAAGATGACATGAAATCATTGAGAGATGAATTCGATACATCAATTAGTAAACAATCCATTACCCTTTACAAGCAATCCACAGACCTCACCAGCGCACTTACTAATGCGTATCGTAGTACTCATACTTCTCGTGTAGATAAGAATCACCTTCCTCAATACGCTGACTTGTCAAGCTTGGCGATGGAAGTGCCATGTAAGTTTCCTAAGAAAGATGACATTCACTGCGCACCTTACCTGAATGCACTGTGCGATGATACATATACTTACTTAGCTCACAAAAACTCGAAGACATATTTGTCATGGGCCATCTACCTCCCATGGACATTCTGGGATCTACTCAACAATTTATATAACGCATTCTGTGCAATCACTTGTGCAGATTGGGGCTGCCGTGGATGTCTCAGAGGAGACAAGTGCAGGAGCGGCAAGCATGGTGTCGTTGAGGATGAGAAGAAACCAGATGACGTCTGTCAGTGTTCTTCCATAGTATCCTGCAGAGGCGTGGCACCGACGCTCTACCAGTATGGATTCAGCTTCGGCGAGGCGTCGACGTTGAATGATGGTAGGACGGCGAAGAAGTGTAAGGATTTCTGCAGCCAGTTACATAACGTGTTACATTCTGATTACTTTGATAAGCTGTTCAAGGAGTGCGACAATTTCCTCTACTACATCAGATGGCCATTCATGACATTGTTGCTAGCCCTCTGGTCCCTCTCTTTGCTCTACCTGCTGCACATCGCCGTCGTCCGCCTCGACGTCCTGAGGATACGCTCCCACCTGCGCTCACCCTCAAGCCACAGGATCGCCGCCCAGTCGCTGCTCGCCGCCGGACGCATCAAGGCACTCGCCAACGTCAAGTACTTCTCACCATAATCGTGCCTTCACGTGTGATCTGTGTATCACCCACACACCCACCTAATCACCCACTCACCCACTCACCCACTCACTCACCCACTCACTCACATACTCACCACTCACCCACTCACATACTCACTCACCCACCCACTCAACCACTCAACCACTCAACCACTCACCCACTCACCCACTCACATACTCACTCAACCACCAACTCAACCACTCAACCACTCACTCACCTACTCACCCACTCAACCACTCAACCAACCACCCACTCACTCAACCACTCACACACTCAACCACCCACTCACATACTCACCTACTCAACCACTCACTTATTCACTCACCACCCCACCCACCCACTCCATTTCAACCACCCACTCAACCACTCACTCAACCACCCACTCACTCAACCACCCACTCACTCACTCACTCACTCAACCACCCACTCACTCACCTAACCACCCACTCACTCACCCACTCAACCACTCACTCACTCACCCACTCACATACTCACTCACTCAACCACTTACTTCACCCACCCACTCACCAATCTCTTACTTAACTCACTCTACCACTCACTAACCATTTACTTAATTTACTGACTTTTTTTCTTGCTTCGCTCCCTGCCTCTCCCCTCCATCACCTCCTCCGTCGCCGTTGTTCACTTTAAATCTCGTTTTCCACTTTTTCCCTCCACTCTCTGAATTGCTTTATTTTATCCGATTTTTCCCCTTCATCGCCCTCTCTCGCCCCTCCACCTCCCTCACCCTGTCCACCCACCTCCCTCGCTGCCTCCTTGACCTATATTCGCCTTTCCCCAAAATCCCCCAAATCGCCCTAAAAATGTGCCTAAAATAATCCTTCAACATTTCTCAACATCTTCACTTTCCTCTTGTTAGCCCTCTGGTCGCTGTCGCTCCTGTACCTGCTGCACATCGTAGTCGTCCGCCTCGACGTCCTGAGGATACGCTCACACCTGAGATCACCTTCAAGCCACCGCATCGCCGCGTAGTCCTCCTCGCTGCTGCACGCGTCAAGGCACTCGCCACAAGCTTTCTCACTATATCGGTTTCACGTGTGATCTGTGTATCACCCTCCCACTCACCCACCTAATCACCCACTCACTCACTCACCTACTCACTCAACCACATACTCACTCACTCACCTAATCACTCAACCACCCACTCACCACCTCTTTCACTGGTCGCTTCGCTCCCTCCATCACCCCTTCCCTCACCTTCTCCGTCGGCGTCCTTCACCCAAATCCTCGTTTTCCACTTTCCCCCTCCACCTCCAAAACCGCCTTATACCATCCCATCTTCCCCCTTCATCGCCCTCTTTCGCCTTCTCACCTCCCTCACCCTGTCCACCCACCTCCCTCGCTGCCTCACTGCCTCCTTGACCTAAAATCGCCTTTCCCCAAATTCCCCCAAATCGCCCTGAAAATGCGCCATTTCATCCCCTTTACCTCTTTTATGTCTCCTTTAATCCACCCTCAATCCAACTACAATAACCATTATAATGAAGTTCATTATCTTACAGAGGATGCTAGAAACAGAGCCTTGAAGGATATTGATGCCCGTCGTATCTCTCTTGGTAAGCTTGCTGGACAACTTATGGGTTTTATTGGTGGGAGTGAGGAAGTAAAAAATGCACTTGTAAATGGTTTGCACAGTAATGTAAATCAGCTTGAAAAGCTTTTGAAAACATCTTGTGGAGATAAGGGGTGTTGTAAGTATAATGATGATGTAAAAAATAACCTTAATGATGTCAATGAGAAGCTTAAAAATCACCTTAAAGAGGAACAAAAAGCCTCTAAAAATCTTACTGAAATCCTTTCTCAGTGCAAGTTAAATGATCTTGATGGTCCCTTAAAAGAGCTTAAAGATGCAATTACTGAGAAAATTGAGAAGCTTAATAAAGATATTGAGAGCCTTAAAAAAGCAGATAAAGATGCTAAACAACGCAATGAAACTCCTCAAAATGCCTCTGAAATTGTCAAGTTTAATAAGGATCTTCAGTCTCATAATGCTTCCAAGAGGTCTCTTGAGACACTGAAAGAGCTTTGTGGATATGCTGGGAAAATTCAAAAAAATCATGAAAATCCTAAAAAGCTTTTAGAGAGTCTTTGTACAGGCCTCGAAAAATTTCTCGGCTACCAGGATGGTAATTACACCGGAGAGGGAATTGTGTACTCGGACCTTGACAGGCTCTGCGACGGGGTGATGGCGTTCTTGCACGGGGTGCTCAGTGGAGTGAAAGATGATGAGAGTGTTACAACTTATGATAAAAATAATGACATTAATAATGTTCTTGAGAAATTAAATGATAGTGTAGGTAAAGGCCGTAAGGCCTTCGAGGAGGCCGTGACTCAGGTAAGTGGGTGGTTGAAAAAACATGGTGCGCAGGTGGACACATTGACCAAGAATGTTACAAGACCATTAGGTACGTTTATTTCTGACATTCAATCTTTTGCAGGTGCAATCGAGAAATTCAAGTCTTCAGAATACGACGCTATCTCAGGGCAGTTGGCGGACTGGACTGACTCAGTCCAGATGCTTCCGACTCTCCCAAAATCCTCACTTAAGTCACTTAGCGCCTTAGATGGCAAACTAAAAAATCACTTAGAAACAAACGTATGCGTAATTCTCAGTAGTGTTAATACATTTGTGGAGTCCACTAAGCATAGCTACGATGACTTGGTGGCGGTGGCTAGCACTGTGGATAGGGACCTTACTGGGCTGGAAAACCAGGTGAATGTCACAGTTCAGCATGAAGTAGATATACTTAAACGGGACATGTACGACAATATTGACACTCTTCAGAAATATGTAAAAAAAGTGCTTGAGGAGAAAGTTGATGCCTTGAAGAAGACTGTAGAGAAGTTAGAGAAGATAAGGTTGAAGATTGAACGAGGCGCCAATAATATAAATGAGAGGTTTCAAGAAGATAGTTTTACTCTGGGCACTGACACTGTCCCTGGTATGGCGACTAAGGCGCTCGGCATTTTTACGAAGGCCTGTCATATTCGTGATGATAAGCTTGGGAATTTGTGGGCGGAAATTCAGGCAGCACTTACAAGGCTTGCTGATGAAATTGCGCAACATGATGGTGGGCCAAAATCTCAAAACCCAGGTTCGCTTGACAGAATTGTGAAAAGCGTTGGCGAGTATGCTACGGATTTCAAGAGCACCTTTGAATCGGCCATCGTAACCATGGTTGGGAATATTATGAAACGTGAACCTGTTAAGCATTATACAGCTGCATATGTTACCAGTGTCAAGGGTAGACGTATAGGTGATATGGATCCAATGATAGCTGCAGATGTAAGAAATGTTGTGGATGCGGTGCAAAATAATATCACAACTCAGCTTAAACAGAATTCTCTACAGAGTCCTGTATCTTCCGAGAATGTTGAATCGGATTTGCAAGCTGTCAAAAAGTACCTTCACGATTTTGCCGCCCACGCCGCTGCGAAACTTCACTCTAATGTTACAACCATTGTTTCTTCCATTGAACAGGATTTACGAAAGAAAAGAGTTTTTGTGAATCCTCATGCGCAACTATATCTAAAGCGTTCTGTTCAGTCCATTTTAACCGCAGTCAAGACTGCGGCTGATGAATCCGAAAAGGAAATTGGAAATTTCAGCACAATGTCGTACATTGCTAACTTGGCAACTGCTATGAAGGCGGTTAAGGATATAGGAACGAAGCTTCAGGGATTGATTGAAGGTCCGCATATTAATCCAATTAAATGTAAAATGACTGATGAGGTTACGAAACCTGCTGAGAAGATTAAGAGTACACTGGCGCAAATTATAGAGGGGGTTAGGCTGAATATCAGAGCGCTAAACGATGTTGCTAAGACAGAACCAATTTCAGGCAAACAACCTGAAGATAACATTAAACTGTGTCAAAATAATCTTACCAATGATGCACGTAACCTGGACACAGACGTCCAGCGTACATTAACAAACCAATGCACAGTATTGAAGCACACCAAATTCACACCTACTGTACAGGCCTGCGAACATGCAATAGTAAACCGTGTCACCGCCGAGACGGCCGACACGAAAAAGAGCATAAAAAACGATGCGCTCACGAAGTTCGTAATGACCAAGGCAAAGGAATTGAATGAATTAAAACAACTCGTCACCAATGAGTTGGACAAAATGATAACCATAATTGATACCGATTTAAAGACGGGAATGAAAGGCCTGATGAAAACCATGAAAAATTCTGAAACCAATCTTGCTGAAATTAAAAGTCTTGTCACCTCGCAACCTGCTTCAGATATGAATAATGCTCAAAAATGCCAAAGTTTTTGCAATATATTGAAAACCTACTTTACTGCTATTTACAATTATTTTTTCGGTCTACTTTACCCAAAACATGAAACCATTCAGTCCATCCACTCCGCTTTAACCACTCTCCTCTCCCACCTGTCCACGCAAAAACACTTCACCCACGAGGTCCCCGGAATGCTCGCGGAACTCAAGACGTCCGTCCAAGCACTCACTTCTACAGCATTCGCCAACCCCGCGTACCCCGTGCTCGACGCTTTCCCCAAGAGCCTGCTGCCGTTCGTCGAGCAGCTGGAGAGGGGGTACGTGAACAGGTATGAGGGGGGTGATAAAATAACATGGGAGAAAGAGGGGAGTACATCAACCGTGTACAGCACCCATGTCAGCTATAATACTGAGCTGACTGAGGAAAGCCAAAAGGGCGCTAGAGTATTCCTTAGCATAATGGACATCATTTCTGATGCCTTTAGCAAAATGGATTACAAGTGTAATGGTGACTGGAGTAGTAAAAAACTTTGCGAAAAAGTCAACGGTGATGAAAATCCCCTCGGCGCATTTTTGAAACGCTGCGGTTTCGAGGTCGCCAAAAATGAGACATCCAAGGACGGCGAATTACATCATGAGAGTGTATGGAATGGGAAGAAGATACATGAGGATTGCCTTAGGGCTGTTCAAGACGCCACCAACAATGAACATCTTAAAGCGTGTGTATCAAAAGACAGCAGCATTAAAGTGCTAGACATTCTTTCATGCCTTATGACTCACCTTAACCAATATAACCAAGTAGGCCACATAGCAACATTCACCGCCACTAGGACACCCTGCAGTATTTTTGATATACTGTGTTGGCTGTCCGGCCTTCCGCATAATGCAGTATTCCAGAAACTCACAACACATTGTAGCTCATACGACACAAAAGGTGACACCGATTTACGGAAACGTTTGTTAGACGCGGTAGCATATAGTTTCCCCAACATCGGCAAGTATTCACATAATATGTTGACCACTATTGTTGGCACTGGAAACGCCGATACCATATATGGCTCTGACCTCGCTAACAACTCTCTCAAATTTAAATACCCTGCTTCCGGCGAGGAATGTCTGTCCACTCTTCTAGACATTATGCGTAGATTGTTGCCGGTATGTAGATTCTTGTATAAACAATGTGGAGTCCGTCCATCTCATTTCGGTTGGCGTGATTGTCAGTACGGCAAAAATATTCCCACCGCCAAGTGGCCGTGTACCGACCATTCAACCGACAAAACAAATAGCCAACCAACGACTAAACCAACGTGCCAAGCAAACACCGAACCAAATCGTCGACCAAATTGCCAACCAACTTCGCCTTTAATGTCCTACTTAAATGACTGCTTGCCGGGTCACTTGCCGCACCAGTTAATCGATGCCGGTTGTAAGTCATCGTGTTCCACCTGCCCATCCACTTCCAGGAATGGTATGCCATGTTTGACACCATTAGGCTTTAGAGCCTTTTCTGGGTCAACGAAAACTGGCCGCGATTTATGTGAGATTATAAAGAAATTCTTGATCGATGTGAATCTCTCATCGATCTTTTGCCTGGGCCCCAAACCTCCAGTTACCCTTCCAGAGCACTTCGGCTTTGCTTTGTCGCTTGTCGGTCAATGGGCTGATACTTCTAGGTATGGCGTCGGCAGCCTTCAAACTTCAATTGAATCCACAATTAAGGACAAGTCCATCGCACTTTATGATCCGCCGACAGAGCTTATGAACGCTCTCACCAACGCTTATGGGCATGGCATAGACAACCATGAAGAATGTGATGACACGCATATCACTAGTCTCACATCGTCTGGTACGTGCAACAGCAAGAACACCCACAGCGCTCCCTATCTGTCGCCTCTTTGCTCCGATGCGTACAAATACCTTGCCAACAAAAATGCTGGTCTGTATCTGTCGTGGATTGCATATCTCCCATGGGTATTTCAACAATACCTCGAATGTTTGCTTGATGCTTTCAAGAACATCTTCTGCCACGAATGGGGGTGCCACGTATGTTTCTATAACGATAAGTGCAAAAAAGGAAAGCACGGTGAATCGGAGCATCCGTGTCAATGCAGTTCCATAGC